TTTAGCTCAAGTTTCACCAGGTGGGAGGAGCAGGAATCAAATGGATACCAACAGCTTACATTGTTTGATGGATACCAACAGCTTACATTGTTTGATGGATACCAACAGCTTACATTGTTTGATGGATACCAACAGCTTACATTGTTTGATGGATACCAACAGCTTACATTGTTTGATGGATACCAACAGCTTACATTGTTTGATGGATACCAACAGCTTACATTGTTTGATGGATACCAACAGCTTACATTGTTTGGATCTGTCGGACTTTAGCTGCTAGCTAGTCACCTACGTCATACTCGCTAGTCTAGCACAATCACCAAACCTCCCCTACCCTAGACGTCTATGACAAACCTCCGCTACCCTAGATGTCTAAGACCTACAAACTGTCCCTACACTAGACGTCTATGACCTACACCCCCTACCCTAGACGTCTATGACCTACATCCCCCTACCCTAGACGTCTAAGACCTACACCCCCTACCCGAGACCTACACCCCCCCCTACCCTAGACCTACACCCCCTACCCTAGAGGTCTATGAGTTACATACTGCTCCTACCCTAGGCGTCTATGACCTACAAACTGTCCCTACACTAGACGTCTAAGACCTACACCCCCCTACCCGAGACGTCTATGACTTACACCCCCTACCCTAGACCTACACCCCCTACCCGAGACGTCTATTCACCAGTAGAAGAAAACTCCCCTCCCCCAAGCGCAGATACTAAAACTTAGCAGAGCGCGTATTAATACACTGCCAATCCCTCGCATCTTAAATTATTGATAAGCATTGGGCGGCAGGATTACATCACGTTTTCTTGCTGAAGTTTCAAAATAAAAATGTCATTGATACTTCGAATAAACTGTTGCATTCTTTAATGGTTGGAAATTATTTCTTTCAGTTATTTCTAGAGGGTAATGACCTGTAACAAAAGACACTGGAATATATTTAAAGCTGATCTTTTATTCAGGTACGCTTTGTACACTTACAGGTGAGAAAAGGTTACCTGCCAACGTGAGGTGTGATGTTAAGACCCATGATATCATAGTCAATTGATATTGAGAATCATAAATGTGTCTTGAGATGGGTTGGAGGGGGGGGGGGGGCTTCTTGCAGGGTATCAACATCTTTAAGATAGCTGGGGGCTTGGTGGCGTGGTGGCAAATCCTTCAAGAGACTTTGGTGGGCTTTGTGACTGTTCGAGAAGGTGTGTGTGTGTGGGGGGGGGGGGTGAGACTGCGACAACATGTTCGAGAAGGTCTGGCGGGGTAGAGAAACGGGACTTTGTAAAATGGCGTTGACTTCTCAAGAGTTTGGGGGGCGGGGGGAGGGCGGGGGCTTTACGGCAGGGCGCCAACATTTTTAACAGTTTGAGGGGGGGGGGGCAGGGCACCAACACGGCAATGTAGACGGCAAATGTTATTTCCACAAGATCAGCAGAAACTGCCAGAAATTTTTCCCTAACTCTAAACGTGTATTGTGGGATGAACTCTTAAGCAAACATCGCTCCCTTACTTCATCTCTCATAATGAAATCAATACCAAAGACAGGCAGAGAGTAACTAGTGGGTAGTTCCCCCTCCTGCTTCTAATGTCACTGATCCAGCAATCAAACAAAACTCCGTTCATCGAACGTCTAACGCCGCTTCAAGCAGGGGAATATACCCACTCGAGGGGAACTTATTGACAGGAGTTGTCGGCGCTGAATGCGGGGACTAGGTGGGGAAAACAGGGGCCGGCTACTCTAGATAGCCATTTCACACTGCCTTTCCTCTTCTAAAGAGCATTGTCAACACCAATAGCAATTAGTTTGATCGCGTTAAGCTGCTAATTAAACAGTTTAATTCACACATTATACAGGTGGATAAAAAAATAACACGTTATTTCTCAAGAGAGCATTTCGTGTTTTTGTTTATGTTTTTTTTAAACGCGTTTTAATGAAATATGAAGCAACTTTGTACACGCAGTTTAAAATCGGATAGTTAGCTTAGCTAACGAGTTGGTGCCATTTAGTCTGGAAATACTCCCCGTAGCCGGGGGTAACTATGGGATCAGCTACTCCTGCAAATGTGAAGAGATCTAGAAATATCAGCATAGCCCAGGGGCGTGGACTAACTTCCGTCAGACATGCGCACTGAGGAGATTTTTTTAATACCTTAATCTTCGATCAGATCAGATGCTAAGATGGGCCCTGAAGCCAGAAAACTAACACCAGAGCTAGCCAGTTTCAAGTGCTGCTAGTGCTCGCGTCCATCCGTCCTCACAATTTTCGTAGCATTTTCAGGGCCCAAATGGCCCACGTTTCACAGTTCCATGCCCTAAATGGCCCACATTCAACAGTCGCATGCCCTAAAAGGCCCACATTTAACAGTTCCCTGCCCCAAATGGCCCAAATATCATAGTTTGAGGCCCTAAATGGCGGACATCCAACGAAAAAATAATTTGAGATTTCAATCTCTGACGTTAAGTACAAGATGCATGCGGTATAATCTGACAGGGCCACGACAGGTCGGGCGGCGGCAGGGTGATCACTGCCTGCATGCTATGCACATAACGACATACAGGTAAAGTACCTGCCTGCCTACCTGTCCCCATGATATGCACATAACGACATACGCGTTAGGTCAAGTACCAGCCAACCTGTCTTACGTGTATGCTAGGCACATAACGACATACGCGTTAGGTTAAGTACCATGCTAGGCACATAACGACATACGCGTTAGGTCAAGTACTGGCCAACCTGCTCCAACCAAGTCAACAGTCCTAGTTGGTGAATACAAGGTCAACCTATAACCATCCAGTTCACGGCAGTGGTGCTCACTAGCTGCACGAACCGAGTCGGTGATAACTCTAGTGTTGGCTGGAACTATACGACTGTTAGTGGGGCCATGGTGAATACACCCGTAGCTCTTTGATATGGGATGAGGTAACGTAGTCGGTTCTAAGTATTCTCAGGTAGTTTGGACAGGCATTCATTCTAACTGAACCGCTGTCATTCTAACTGACCAGCTGTCATTCTAACTGACCCGCTGTCATTCTAACTGACCCACTGTCATTCTAAGTGTCCATCTGTCATTTTAACTGACCCGCTGTCATTCTAACTGACCAGCTGTCATTCTAACTGAACCGCTGTCATTTTATATGTAAACATTGTCATTCTAACTGTAAACACTGTCATTCTAAAAGCACCCGTTGTCATTCATGGCTGAGTAACCAAACCCAGCCGTTTTTCTACTGTATAAAGTTACGATACATCCAGAGCTGGTAACAACGTGCCTATAACAATTGTTTTCTTTCGGTGTTTACAGTTTAAAAAATTACAATGCGATTTTCGATGTTAGCGCAGAAATAACGTGTAAAAATGTTCATTCTCCCCCAAATGGAGGTCGACCCCTGACATACAGCTAATGGTTGCATCCCTAGCCCAGCCTCCAACCCCATCACCTCCGATACATCAGCGACATCAGCAGGCAAAAAGTGACAGAGAAAATCTCATCTTACCCACAGCAGAGCTGGCACCGAGAAAATATGGGCCGGCCTCACGTTCTATGGACATTATCCCCCACTAAACAATAATTCTATCATTTCCTATTTGGAGAGTGCAGATTAAAAAACGGATTTACATAAAACCGGTATCAGCCATCGATTGTGTACCCAACTAATATTGATTTTACCCGATCTGTTACTAGCTCTTTCGCCACCTTTACAATCAACAAAAAAAAAACACACACACAAAAAACTGACATTTTCTTGCGTAAGGCGACAGTCACGCTACATCAATTTTCATCGCGGGCAGTTTTTTCTTGCTGGCTTTCGTGTCTGTTTGATGTTGGTTTAAAAAAAAATTAAATTAGTAACTTATTTCTATCCGGACAATTAGAAGGTAAGATGGTTAAAAATTTGACTTGAGATTCAAGTAAATACATGCGTCGTGTTTTACTAGATTTGTGTGATGGAGAAACGTGTGTGTTTTGTGTGAAATGTGGTGGGTGTGTGTTTTTACATGCAGGTTAATGTGTGTGTGAGGGGGGGTATGAGGGGTGATATGTGGGTATTGATGTTGAGGTCGGCTTGACAAAGTGGTATAGTTTGATTCTGGGATTGGAGAAAACGTTGAGGTAGAAGTGTGTGTGTGTGTGGGGGGGTAAAATATAGATACAGTATAGCTGTGGGATTAGTGGTTGGATATGTGTAAGTGCATTTGTGGTTAAACGCAATAAAGAACCACATGTCAGAACAAATACCCGCCTGTCTTGTCTGTGAGTGCTGTAGAAGTGCTCACCGCACCTCCCAACAAACACGGGGTAAATAAGCATCAAACAATAGGCCGGGTGCTCTACCGTAGCATGTTTTCAATAGCAGCTAACACAATCATCAAACAATGCCGGGTGCTCAACTCTCGCATGTTTTCAATAGCAGCTAACACAATCATCAAACAATGCCGGGTGCTCTACCCTCGCATGTTTTCAATAGCAGCTAACACAATCATCAAACAATGCCGGGTGCTCAACTCTCGCATGTTTTCAATAGCAGCTAACACAATCATCAAACAATGCCGGGTGCTCAACTCTCGCATGTTTTCAATAGCAGCTAACACAATCAGCGGCCCACGGCCGGGTATGGAGCGAGAAATAAGCAGCAGCATGACTTAACGGAGGCGAGATACAATTCCTTCATCCCCCGGATTGTCTGCCCCGAGCGACCTCATTTCGGCGTTCATCGTTTGCTGCCCATAGAAATTGGAGGGAGCGGTGAGGGGAACCCTTGGCGTGGTGGTACAGGCCAATGGGTTCGGACCAATGAAGGTCCCCAACCTCGTTTTCAATTGAGTGAGAAGTAGACGCGGCTCTGGTCTATCTATCCCTTCAATTTATTCACGTGATTGTGGCTATTTGTCGCACAAACTGGTTCGAACGTCAGTCAGGGTAGATTTCTAAACACATTTTTTTAAATACCTATCTCGTTCACACACTGATTTATTGCTTTCGTTCCATTACAGGCCGTGATAGAGGTCAAGTCTGCTGTGATCAAAGATGAAAGCGTGAACCCGGATGTTAATGCTGAGTACGAATTAAAGCTGAGGAGCTAGTGAGTGGGAATCTGGATTGACGTAATTGTCCACGCTGGGTGCACGTTGAGTTAACTGCCACTCGTACATCGTCTGAGGATTAACTTCAGCCATGTCCATCAAACGCATTCTCCGCAAGCTCAGGAAGACTCGACTACTGAGCAGCCCAAAGAAGATCGTCAAGGAGGTGACGGCGACATGAGGCAGTCTGCTAAACCCGTCCCTGGCTACGGAGGATTCAGCAAGACCCGTCCATCGCTACAGGGGCTTTACCAAGACCCATCCATAGCCACAGGGGCTTTACCAAGACCCGTCCCTTGCCTCTAGGGCGACGATGTTGCGCCTTATATTATATTTTACGATAACGGATTAGCCACCGTTGAACTGTATATGTGATGAAACATGCAGCCAAAAGGCATTCAATATTAGGAAAACAATCCCGTTGAATATATGTGTGTGCTCGTCTCAGAACGATCATGAACTCGAACAGCTTTAGTCATGTGACTCTCGGTGCTAGAGTAACCGAGGGGGATGGTAGCTCGGATATCAGAGAAGTGGTACGCCAGCAATGGACAAGGGGAAGCGTGAGCCGAGAGATGCGGACGGAACACATACTCACGTGGAATACCACTGCCGTGTACGATGTATGGGGGGATGTCAACGTGACCCTGACCACGCCAGGGGGTGGTAACGTCAGCAACGTGACGGTGGACGACAACACCCTCAAGGCATTCAGTGAGTATTACCAGGTAGGTCATTACACGTTATAGACATTCAGTATTACCAGGTAGGTCATTACACAATCTAGACATTCAGTATTACCAGGTAGGTCATTACACCTTATAGACATTCAGTATTACCAGGTAGGTCATTACACATTATAGGCATTCAGTATTACCAGGTAGGTTATTACACAATCTAGACATTCAGTACATATATATATATATATATATATATATATATATATATATATATATATATATATATATATATATATATATATATATATATATATATATATATATATATTGTGAGTGATATACTAGACAGCAATCTCAGACGTCAGACTTCAAACTTAGACATCAGACAGCAAGCTAGGACAGCAAACGCAAACATCACACATCAGACAGCAAGCTCACGCATCAGACTCAGACATCAGACAGCAAGCTCACACATCAGACTCAGACAGCCAGCTAGGACAAAAAGCTCACGGATCAGACTCAGACATCAGACAGCCAGCACATTTATCAGGAAAGGTCGACCCAGGCCTCGACTAACACCGGCAGGAGAATGTGTCAAGCCATCTCCATACATAATCAGCCGGGGTGCGACCGGCATGCCGGCACTCATTTAACAGGACCAAGGTGCGACCGGCACTGATTCTCCAGGTTCCTGACGCGACCGGCACTTTTTAAACGAACCGGATTTTTGGCAGGCGAATTCTGACAAGGACCAATACCCTCAGTCAAGAGAACGCGACAGGACACGATTCTTGACTCACGCTAGGGAAAGTTAGGCGACTGGACATAAAACTGACCGCACCATCCCCTCACAGACCCAGGTCGAGGAAAGAGCACAACTCTACCTCCCCTGCCCAACTGATCGCTAGATCCAATACGGTATTATCGCACGGCTCTCTGTAAACACGCTTAGCCTCGCCCAGACTGGAGAAACAACAAATAAAACAGGCCAGTCTCAACAAGCGTTGAATGTTTAAACTACACCCAACACAAAGTTGATATTCATATCATTTACTGGTAAAATCAACAACCTGATACACAATCATCAAGAACGATGTATATTTACATTTATGTAACTTAGATCTAGTAGCTTGTTTTATCAACATGTTAGAAAAGCAAGATATTTTATAAAAAAAAAAAACAACGAAATTTAAACTACGAATTGGATAAACCTGAATGGCACCACCATATCGACCCGGCACTTTAAGAAGACCTCAGCTTTTCCTAGACTCAAAATAAAACTGAATTTAAAAAAAACACAAGTATTTAAAAAATGACAAGAAAATTGAAGACTCACCCCCCCCCCCAACTTTAGCATCCCTCCAACACCGCCCACCCTAGCACTCCCCCCCCCACCCCCATCCCACCCGTTTCTAAACTGTGAGACAAACATTCCAAGCTCGAGTTGCCATAGGACGTGATCCGAACCTCCAAGTAGACCCCGCTCAAAAATACCGGCCATCAATCAGCCCTCAGCTCGATACCGACCAGATCTAAGCCGATATTCAGGGGACGTCCTCCAACTGAAACTTCCTATATGTATATGTATATGTATATGTATATGTATATGTATATGTATATGTATATGTATATGTATATGTATATGTATATGTATATGTATATGTATATGTATATGTATATGTATATGTATATGTATATGTATATGTATATGTATATATATATATATATATATATATATATATATATATATATATATATATATATATATATATATGTGTGTGTGTGTGTGTGTGTGTTTGTATGTGTATATATTGATTCTGATATTATGCACCCCACTGCTTTAATATCGATACTGAGATTACATGCGGGTCATCGCCTTACCGTGAAGGTCGATACTACTCTTCCACCTCGATGCCCAACACCACGACACCTCTCTAATCTAGGTGACGTCTTTAAATACGATACCGATCGACCCACCACCGATACCGCCCATCTTCTCTGGACTCTGTCTTGATACTGTTCACTGCGAAAGTCAACGGGTGGAATCGGGTACACCGTATTCCTGCGTATTGGTGTACAAAGTAAGACAAAGTAATCGAATATAAAACAAACTATCGGAATCGAGTAGAAAAGAAATCGTCGGAGTCGAGTAGTTCCAACAAATACAACGAAGACGTTAAAAAAAAAAGTCGGATGGAATAACATTGAGTGTAAACACCAGTTTTAATGGGAGCGGGTTTAGGGGGACGAAAGTCATCACTTCTCTCCCCTGACCAAATAGGCCTGCCCTGTGAACGTAGGAGGCTTTGCTCACCATTTTTACTGGAACCACGTGACTGATGGTGACCTTGCTCACCATTGTAACTACGACCACGTGTCTGATGGTGGCTGGCTCACCACTTACACCACGTGACATATGGGATATTCGCTCACCATTGACACTACGACCAATGGTCTCTAGCAAACTTGGAAATAATCACACAGCTAGAGGAATCACGACTTTACTGGGTGGTGGGCGGGCTCAACATGGCGAGTGTCTAAGAATGGGCGGTCTTTAACTGTGGGCGGAGTTAAGAAAGTTGTCTAGATACAGTGGAGGCGGAGACCGTTTGAACTCTAATGGAGTTGTGCGGAGAAATAGCGAGGTCATAAATCTCCTACGGAGCAAACACATTCGTCGAAGTCACACTAATAAAGTACATGTAGGCCTACTTAAGGAGGCGGAGCCGCACGATTATGTTCCCCCCAAAGACGTGAGTTCAGTTTACCGATATACAAGTCCGTAGGTCGTTCCTGAGTCCACTCAGCTCTAATGTGTGTCTATCAAGAGCCGAAGAAACTACAGACCACGGGGCATTATGCTACATCCGCTAAAGTCATCGGCCTTCTAAAGTCATCGGCCTTCTTAAGTCATCGTGTAAACGATAAATTCCCAATATAAATCGCTCCCGATATGCTAGTTTACGACACCAAGACAGGAGAAACTGTTTGTATAGACCTAGCGCATCTACTAAATCTGCTGTGAATAAACCTAGCGCATCCACTAAATCCTCTGAGAGTAAACCTAGCGCATCTACTAAATCCTCTGTGAATAAACCTAGCGCATCCACTAAATCCTCTCCTATTTCCTCAGGGTATCCACGGCTACCTGGCTCTGATGGTCTGCATCTTTGGCATCGTCTCCAATGTGCTCAACATCATCGTGCTGACCAGGAAACACATGCGCTCACCTACAAACTTCATCCTGGCAGCGCTAGCCATAGCGGACCTGCTCACAATGATCCCCTACCTGGTCAATGCCATCTACAGCTATATCTTACGAAAGTAAGTACAAGTACAACCTCTCTTGTTTTATACTCAGACAGTGTAAACTGCCTTGTTTTACATTCAGTCAGTACAGAATGTCTTGTTTTTAAAACATTCAGTGTAAACTGTCTTGTTTTATACTCAGTCAGTGTAAACTGTCTTGTTTCACATTCAGTAGGTACAGCATGTCTTTTTTTTTAAACATTCAGTCAGTGAAATCTGTCTTGTTTTATACTCAGACAGTCAGTGTAAACTGTCTTGTTTTATACTCAGACAGTCAGTGTAAACTGTCTTGTTTTATACTCAGACAGTCAGTGTAAACTGTCTTGTTTTATACTCAGTCAGTGTAATCTGTCTTGTTTTATACTCAGTCAGTGTAACCTGTCTTGTTTTATACTCAGTCAGTGTAAACTGTCTTGTTTTACATTCAGTCAATACAGAATGTCTTGTTTTTAAAACACTCAGACAGTCAGTGTAAACTGTCTTGTTTTACATTCAGTCAGTACAGAATGTCTTGTTTTTAAAACATTCAGACAGTCAGTGTAAATGTAAACTGTCTTGTTTTACATTCAGTCAGTACAGAATGTCTTGTTTTTTAAACCTTCAGACAGTCAGTGTAAACTGTCTTGTTTTACATTTTGTCTGGCTGTGCTTTATGCCGCCGTCGTTAGTCGCGCTGTGCCTGTAGAATGTTCTGGACACTGATACAATTTGTTGCTGCTAAATAAAGACACGATTCCCGGCGTTCTTCCAATGTAAAGCCATCTGCCCTTTGTGTGCCTGTGTGTATGTACATCTATCCCCTCCATATGTTTACGGCAAACATCACGTCTATCCCCATTCATTGACCAGCTGTTTTGTTTTTTTCAAACATAAAACTTTGTAAAAACCACGCCCACCACAGCACGTGGGGCAGACAAACGAACCCACCAGAAGCCATAAGCGAACGTCTGGGAGAACCCCGTCCATACAACATTATCAAATTGATTTTTTTTTAAACTTCTGCCTATAAAACGTGCCTTAGAATATGCATGATAACTAGATCCACACTCAAACAAATTTACAGACACATATAGAGACACATATATAGACACACCTACAGATACACATACAGACACATTCACATACAGATACTTATAAACACACCTACAGACAAACATACAGACACATTCACATAAAGATACTAATAAACACACCTAAAAACCCACAGACAGACAGACAGAGATACAGACACACACACATATAGACACACGTACAAACCCACCCAGCCATACATAATTTTTTTCACCGTATCATGTCCACTACTGACCGGTCCTCTCCCCCCCCCCAGTAACGTATCATGTCCACTACTGACCGGTCCTCTCCCCCCCCCCCAGTAACGTATCATGTCCACTACTGACCGCTGTCCCCCCCCCCCAGTAACGTATCATGTCCACTGCTGACCGCTGTCCTCTCCCCCCCCCAGTAACGTATGTCCACTACTGACCGCTGTCCTCCCCCCCCCAGTAACGTATCATGTCCACTACTGACCGCTGTCCTCTCCCCCCCCCCCAGTAACGTATGTCCACTACTGACCGCTGTCCTCCCCCCCCCCCCAGTAACCTATCATGTCCACTACTGACCGCTGTCCTCTCCCCCCCCAGTAACGTATGTCCACTACTGACCGCTGTCCTCCCCCCCAGTAACCTATCATGTCCACTACTGACCGCTGTCCTCACCCCCCCAGTAACGTATCATGTCCACTACTGACCACTGTCCTCCCCCCCCCAGTAACGCATCATGTCCACTAATGACCGCTGTCCTCCCCCCCCCAGTAACGTATCATGTCCACTACTGAACGCTGTCCCCCCCCCCAACGTATCATGTCCACTACTGACCGCTGTCCTCCCCCCCCCAGTAACGTATCATGTCCACTACTGACCGCTGTCCTCCCCCCCCCCAATTACGTATCATGTCCAATACTGACCGCTGTCCTCCCCCCCCCCCCAAGTAACGTATCATGTCCACTACTGACCGCTGTCCTCCCCCCCCCCCCAGTAACGTATCATGTCCACTAATGACCGCTGTCCTCCCCCCCCCCAGTAACGTATCATGTCCACTAATGACCGCTGTCCTCCCCCCCCAGTAACGTATCATGTCCACTAATGACCGCTGTCCTCCCCCCCCCCCCAGTAACGTATCATGTCCACTACTGACCGCTGTCCTCCCCCCCCCCAGTAACGTATCATGTCCGCTACTCACCGCTGTCCCCCCCCCCCCAAATAACGTATCATGTCCACTACTGACCGCTGTCCTCCCCCCCCCCCAGTAACGTATCATGTCCACTACTGACCGCTGTCCCCCCCCCCCAAATAACGTATCATGTCCACTACTGACCACTGTCCTCCCCCCCCAGTAACGTATCATGTCCACTAATGACCGCTGTCCTCCCCCCCCCAGTAACGTATCATGTCCACTACTGACCGCTGTCCCCCCCCCCCCCAAATAACGTATCATGTCCACTACTGACCGCTGTCCTCCCCCCCCCCCCCAGTAACGTATCATGTCCACTAATGACCGCTGTCCTCCCCCCCCCAGTAACGTATCATGTCCACTAATGACCGCTGTCCTCCCCCCCCCCAGTAACGTATCATGTCCACTAATGAACGCTGTCCTCCCCCCCCCCCCCAGTAACGTATCATGTCCACTACTGACCGCTGTCCTCCCCCCCCCCCAGTAACGTATCATGTCCGCTACTCACCGCTGTCCCCCCCCCCCCAAATAACGTATCATGTCCACTACTGACCGCTGTCCTCCCCCCCCCAGTAACGTATCATGTCCACTACTGACCGCTGTCCCCCCCCCCCCAGTAACGTATCATGTCCACTACTGACCACTGTCCTCCCCCCCCCCCCAGTAACGTATCATGTCCACTAATGACCGCTGTCCTCCCCCCCCCCAGTAACGTATCATGTCCACTACTGACCGCTGTCCCCCCCCCCCCAAATAACGTATCATGTCCACTACTGACCGCTGTCCTCCCCCCCCCCAGTAACGTATCATGTCCACTAATGACCGCTGTCCTCCCCCCCCCCCCCAGTAACGTATCATGTCCACTAATGACCGCTGTCCTCCCCCCCCCCCCCAGTAACGTATCATGTCCACTACTGACCGCTGTCCTCTCCTCCCCCAGGCCAAGCTGCAGCAGCACCCAGACGGCCGAGAGCTCCCTCTACTGGATGTACTTCGCCATGTTCCAGAACCTCTTCGTCATCACGTGCCACATGATGGCCCTCTGGCTGACCGTCTCGCTGACCGTCTTCCGCTACATCTTCGTCTGCAAGCACCAACTGGCCTCCGTCATGTGCTCCATGCAGCGGGCCCACCTCACCGTCCTCATCGTCTTCATCGTCACCATCCTCCTCTGCGTCCCTTACTTCTTCGTCTACGAGGTGCAAGAAACATCGGAGGCCATCACGCAGCCATGCTACTCTGTTCAACCCTCGCCTTTCGCGCAGGCTAACCCAATGTACATAACCTTCGTCCACTGGCTGTTCGGCGTGGTCATCAAAATCCTCCCTTGCATCCTGCTGGCGTATCTCTCCATACTGCTCATCATAGCCATGCAGCAAGCCAAGAAACGCCGGGCCAGGCTGCTCAACAACATCTCCCGGGTCATCGACCACGAGAGCTCCAACGAGCACAACAGGACAACCATGATGCTGGTGGGGGTGGTCATCTGTTTCATCATCACCGAGACACCCCAGGGGATCGTGGCGGGGATCAGCGCGGTGGACACGCACTTCTTCCGGACGGTGTACGTGTACCTGGGCGACCTGATGGACATCCTAGTGCTGGTCAACAGCGCCGTCAACTTCATCCTCTACTGCATCATGTCGCAGCGGTTTAGGGACACCTTCAAGAGCCTCTTCGTCGCCAAGCACTTGCCGCCCTTCTTTCACAGAGTCAAGCATCACCCCAACGGTGGGGACTACAGCATGGTCCACACGGAGACGACTTTACTCTAAAGGCAGAGTCAAGGCAACGTGTAGCAAAACTACAACAGTGCGCCATCTAGGCAACTTGTAGCAAAAATACAACAGTATGCCATAAAGGCATCTTGTAATAAAACTACAACAGTATGTCATGAAGGCAACGTGTAGCAAAATTACAACACAGTGCAGCGAGAGGAAAACTTGTAATACCATGACAATATAGACTCATAAAGAAGACGCTACAGCCAAAAAGGATAACGAAAGTCGAATGGATTAAACTTTGATGTAAAAGGACAACAATGTAAGTGTAAGAGCCAATACCATCACTTACATGATGAGGCAGTTTTCTTACATATGTTGGCATTAAATAACTGGCTGCTGGCGACTGGATCACTCCTACTGAACATGCCAGAATGTTCCTGGCAAACTTGTATTCCAACACGGATACGGCCTTGGCGCTTCAATCTTTATTCCAACACACGGATACGGCCTTGACCCTCACACTCGTATTCCAACACACGGATACGGCCTTGACCCTCACACTCGTATTCCAACACACGGATACGACCTTGACCCTCACACTCGTATTCCAACACACGGATACGACCTTGACCCTCACACTCGTATTCCAACACACGGATACGGCCTTGACCCTCACACTCGTATTCCAACACACGGATACGACCTTGACCCTCACACTCGTATTCCAACACACGGATACGACCTTGACCCTCACACTCGTATTCCAACAGTCAAGTATGACCTTGACCCTTCCACCCCTATTGCAACGCACGCATGATCTACAGCAAAACGCCATCAGACTATGGCCGGGCTGCCAAAAGCCCCAGCCACTACAATACCAGCGCCGCCATTGTTGCGAGGCATGCAAAACAAACAGATGGCGTACTGAAGCACACACACATCAGTCTGGTCCGCCCAGAAAGCTGATTTTAAAACCCAGAAGATTGATGATAACAGGCTGATTTAAAGGGAATGTTCTAGATATTTAACGCTTTCATCTCGTAGGGAACTGACTGTCAAACCCGGGCTATTAATAGCACAGGGCAGGGTTGTTTTTTTTTTTAGGGAAAAGATTTAAAGAGAGATAACTCCACCCCTCCACCATCCCAAATTTGAAATGAAAACTCTAGCCCGGCGTGCATTTTGATTTGGAATCAACCATTACTAGTTGATGGATAGGGTGGTGGCCATGGTAACTGGGGGGTACAAAGTTGATCGGGTGCCAGACGAATCATGAGTCTGTCTGTTCAAATGGAATTATAAAAAAAAAAACAAATAAAAAAAAACAAAACAGATTTCGTTCCTTCATCAAAGTGGCGGGATTAAGCATGCATCCCGTACGGGAACCACGTGATGTCTGTAACTGGTATCTACAGCTAAGTATGTGGTATAAAAACTAAATGAAAACCTGTGTGTCACAAAGATGTGACATTGACAGATATCTGTCGCTGTGACAATTAGAGGTGACGTAATGAAAACCAGAGGATAGACCTATTGTTACGTATCACCAGAAAATAGACCTATCTGTATCACCAGACCTATCATTATCACTAGAGGATAGATCCGTATCACCAGAGGATAAACCTAGCTGTATCACTAGAGGATAGACCTGTCTGTCTCACCAGAGGATAAACCTAGCTGTATCACTAGAGGATAGACCTATATGTCTCACCATTGGATAGACCTGTCGGTATCACCAGAACTAAGCATCATGAAGTGGCCTTTAACTCTTAGAATTCCAAACTCTGGCTTGTCTATGAGGCAACAATTCTTTGTGTATTTCTCACGGGTAGTGGATGAGGCTGTTCATTCGAATGTTAAACTTAGCTTATATTCATGATATTAATACATTCAATATTACTGTATGTACATACTATGTTCATACTTCATATATATATATATATATATATGAAGAGTTGATTTTCAAAATGCAATATATCCAAAATTTGGGTTTCGAGAAAATCGCAATTTTCTCCTACACGAAGCCATTGTACAATTTGCTAAAACTGTTTGTCAATTTAGGTTCATAACCCTCATATACATAGGACTAGAATGGTTTTTGAAATGTACCTGCATAAAAAGATGCTTTTTTTGGTCCCAAAATTTGCGTTTCGTTGCAAAATGAGGTATATCCAGCTTTTGTTAAGTTACAAAACGCAGTATATCCATTTTTTTTCTGAAAATACATCTGATGTCCAATATTTTAGTTTATTATTTTATTAAGACCCACTTATATTCCCAGTGTTATCATCTCACTACAATTGTACCATGTTTTTCTGTTACTTTAAAGTGTTTTTAGTGAGTAATTTCAGTTATTTGAACATTTTTCAAAAATGATGCAAATCTCTAACGAGAGACTTTAATTTGAAGAGTACAGCTTGTTTTTAGGTTCATAACCCTCATATAAATAGGACTAGAATGGTTTTTTAAATGTACCTGCATAAAAAGATGCTTTTTTTTTGTCCCAAAATTTGCGTTTCGTTGCAAAATGAGGTATATCCAGCTTTTGTTAAGCTACAAAATAGAAATAAAATGAAAATTTTGCGCCGTGAAGATTAAAATTAAGTTTTCCTAATAGTAACTGAGTAGCTTTACAATATGGGCACGTTATCTCATTTTTTTCAAAAATGGCGCTTATCGCGTTTTGAAAATCAACTCTTCATATATATATATATATATATATATATATATATATATATATATATATATATATATATATATATATATATATATATATATATATATATATATATATATATGTATATATATATATGTATCTATATAAATAACTTATATATATACATAGATATAAATCAGGAATGACTGACGGAGTATGTAGATGGGATCACCAAAGATGATGCTGATTGTCTACACCAAAAAACTCCATAGCCTAATGAATAAATACACTTTATGATCCTCCACTCATGTGGAGTGACCACATGGACTCGACACTCATGTGGAGTGACCACATGGACTCGACACTCATGTGGAGTGACCATGTGGACTCGACACTCATGTGGAGTGACCATGTGGATACGACACTCATGTGGAGTGACCATGTGGATACGACACTCATGTGGAGTGACCACATGGACTCGACACTCATGTGGAGTGACCACATGGACTCGACACTCATGTGGAGTGACCACATGGACTCGACACTCATGTGGAGTGACCACATGGACTCGACACTCATGTGGAGTGACCATGTGGGCTCGACACTCATGTGGAGTGACCATGTGGATACGACACTCATGTGGAGTGACCATGTGGATACGACACTCATGTGGAGTGACCACATGGACTCGACACTCATGTGGAGTGACCATGTGGATACGACACTCATGTGGAGTGACCATGTGGATACGACACTCATGTGGAGTGACCATGTGGATACGACACTCATGTGGAGTGACCATGTGGATACGACACTCATGTGGAGTGACCATGTGGATACGACACTCATGTGGAGTGACCATGTGGATACGACACTCATGTGGAGTGACCATGTGGATACGACACTCATGTGGAGTGACCATGTGGATACGACACTCATGTGGAGTGACCATGTGGATACGACACTCATGTGGAGTGACCATGTGGATACGACACTCATGTGGAGTGACCACATGGACTCGACACTCATGTGGAGTGACCACATGGACTCGACACTCATGTGGAGTGACCATGTGGGCTCGACACTCATGTGGAGTGACCTTGTTAAGTGACCATATGTACAATGTGGAGTGTACTTTTCTCTTTGCTTTTTTGTTATTTGTAACCAAGGTCGTCATCGCACAACGCGTTTTCTACATGTATCATTGGTTTAGTGGGTCATGTGACCGACTACTATGTTGGTTTAGTGGGTCATATGACCGACCACTATGTTGGTTTAGTGGGTCATGTGACCGACTACTATGTTGGTTTAGTGGGTCATATGACCGACCACTATGTTGGTTTAGTGGGTCATGTGACCGAGTACTATGTTGGTTTAGTGGGTCATGTGACCGACTACCATGTTGGTTTAGTGGGTCATGTGACCGACTACTATGTCGGTTTAGTGGGTCATGTGACCGACTATTATGTCAAACAAGTACATTTTATGGAGTTCAATCTAAAAGATCACAACTTCTAAAGTTTTATAACACAAACATACACAATATACCTTTTTTGTGCAATGATAAGTGAGTGTGTGTTGGTTCATTATAATTATATATACATATATAAATATATACATATATAAATACGAATAAATATATACATATATATATATATATATATATAAATATATATATATATATATATATATATATATATATATATATATATATGAAACCGATGACGACAAAAATGTTATGACCTTAGCTTTGTTAAGAAAGCTAGAAAGTTCAAAGTTCATTGAACGAGTTGTAAATAAACAAAAATTCTGTGCGTGACTGCTGGTGTGTGATATGCTGGTCCATATGTCTAGAGAGCTGTACTGTCGTGTCTATGCTATGAGTGCATGTCTTCAGACGCCGATGTATGTTACGACTGTGATACCAGCGATGTCCGCTGTTTTAGATAGACTGTGCCTCACCTTATGTCGATCATGTCGTTTGATTCGCAGTTTCTTGCTGTTGTCATATCAATTAAATATACCATCTGCTTCAAGATTTGCATTTTTATTTCAACCCAATTAGCATCAAATTTACATTCTAGACGCAAGATAAGATTTTCTTCAAAGAACACATATTTATTCAGGTCATAAAACCCATTGACAAGTTGGAAAAATAAGTAAAAAAAATGTAACCATAGATACGAAAACTTATTTTTAAGTTTAATTTCCAGCCGGAAAAACAAAACGGTCAGAAAAAAAAAACATGTGTAAGTCCGAATCACCAGTCACAAGTCAGAAAAAATATTCTCAAGTCAGACTACAAAAACGCTACCGGAAGTAAAACCTACAAAAACGCTACCGGAAGTAAAACCTACAAAAACGCTTCCGGAAGTAAAACCTACAAAAACTCTACCGGAAGTAAAGCCTACAAAAACGCTTCCGGAAGTAAAACCTACAAAAACTCTACCGGAAGTAAAGCCTACAAAAACGCTTCCGGAAGTAAAACATACAAAAACGCTACCGGGAGTAAAAACTACAAAAACGCTACCGGAAGTAAAACCAACAGGGATTACTGCTGAGTATTCGTAGTTTCACCACAAGCAGTGTTGTGACTGTAGGCCTATGAGCCATGTTATCATAAGTCACCAGATTGGTGCAACACAATCCAATCAACACGATCCTAGCAACACATTCCAATCAACACAATCCTACACGAAAGAGTGCAGGTTCAAGTGTTTCAATTAGGTGCAGAAAAACTACGACCATTTCATCGGTATCTGGTTTACCGTAAGCTAAGCTGTTCCTATGAATCCTTTAAAGTATTTGCTGTAATTGTTCCAGAACTTGTTTACCAGATAAAAGTATTTGATTGTTCCAAAACTTGTTTACAAGATAAAAGAATTCGATTGTTCTAGAACTTATTCACCAGAACTTGTTCACCAGAACTTGTTCACGAGATAAAAGTATTAGCTGTAAATGTCCCAACGACTTGTTCCTTAGATGACGGTATTCGCTGAATGACCAATCATATTGGATTGTGTGACTCATCCAACGTGAGCACCGACCCCAAACTGACCCCCCGACCCCCAGCACCGGCTCCCCATTCATCTTAACTCTATCGAGTTAGTGGGCGGTGGCGTGAATGGAAATCAAGCGGCAAGTAGCACTGGGCACACGGTGCTATTCGGACGTCGGCGCTTGTCGGCTAGCAATTTGACTGTTCGGAGAATACAAGATGAGACCTGGATATTCGCCAGACAACTTGGGCTACACATGACGACCCTGTCAACTTGGGCTACACATCACCAGCCTGTCAACTTGGGCTACACATCACCAGCCTGTCAACTTGGGCAACACATCACCAGCCTGTCAACTTGGGCTACACATCACCAGCCTGTCAACTTGGGCTACACATCACCAGCCTGTCAACTTGGGCAACACATGACGACCCTGTCAACTTGGGCTACACATCACCAGCCTGTCAACTTGGGCTACACATCATGAGCCTGTCAACTTGGGCTACACATCACCAGCCTGTCAACTTGACATCACCAGCCTGTCAACTTGGGCTACACATCACGAGCCTGTCAACTTGGGCTACACATCACCAGCCTGTCAACTTGGGCTACACATCACCAGCCTGTCAACTTGGGCTACACATCACCAGCCTGTCAACTTGGGCTACACATCACCAGCCTGTCAACTTGGGCTACACATCACGAGCCTGTCAACTTGGGCTACACATCACCATCCTGTCAACTTTGGCTACACATCACCATCCTGTCAACATGGGCTACACATGACGACCCTGTCAACTTGGGCTACACATGACGACCCTGTCAACATGGGCTACACATGTCGACCCTGTCAACTTGGGCTACACATGACGACCCTGTCAACTTGGGCTACCCATCACGAGCTTGTCATCTTGGGCTACACATCACCAGCCTGTCAACTTGGGCTACACATGACGACCCTGTCAACTTGGGCTACACATCACCAGCCTGTCAACTTGACATCACCAGCCTGTCAACTTGGGCTACACATCACCAGCCTGTCAACTTGGGCAACACATCACCAGCCTGTCAACTTGGGCTACACATCACCAGCCTGTCAACTTGGGCTACACATCACCAGCCTGTCAACTTGGGCAACACATGACGACCCTGTCAACTTGGGCTACACATCACCAGCCTGTCAACTTGGGCTACACATCATGAGCCTGTCAACTTGGGCTACACATCACCAGCCTGTCAACTTGACATCACCAGCCTGTCAACTTGGGCTACACATCACGAGCCTGTCAACTTGGGCTACACATCACCAGCCTGTCAACTTGGGCTACACATCACCAGCCTGTCAACTTGGGCTACACATCACCAGCCTGTCAACTTGGGCTACACATCACCAGCCTGTCAACTTGGGCTACACATCACCAGCCTGTCAACTTGGGCTACACATCACGAGCCTGTCAACTTGGGCTACACATCACCATCCTGTCAACTTTGGCTACTCATCACCATCCTGTCAACATGGGCTACACATGACGACCCTGTCAACTTGGGCTACACATGACGACCCTGTCAACATGGGCTACACATGTCGACCCTGTCAACTTGGGCTACACATGACGACCCTGTCAACTTGGGCTACCCATCACGAGCTTGTCATCTTGGGCTACACATCACCAGCCTGTCAACTTGGGCTACACATGACGACCCTGTCAACTTGGGCTACACATCACCAGCCTGTCAACTTGACATCACCAGCCTGTCAACTTGGGCTACACATCACCAGCCTGTCAACTTGGGCTACACATCACCAGCCTGTCAACTTGGGCTACACATGACGACCCTGTCAACTTGGGCTACACATGACGACCCTGTCAACTTGGGCTACACATGACGACCCTGTCAACGTGGGCTACACATCACGAGCCTGTCAACTTGGGCTACACATCACCAGCCTGTCAACTTGACATCACCAGCCTGTCAACTTGGGCTACACATCACCAGCCTGTCAACTTGGGCTACACATCACCAGCCTGTCAACTTGGGCTACACATGACGACC